TCCCAGTGTCACACCTTGTCTCACAACAGCACAAGATCAACCCCCCCCCCAAAAAAAAAAAAAGAATAACCTTGGCAGGAAGAGTTCGGAACCCTCACCTGTGCGTGGATGTGTGCGGAGCCACATGCCAATCACCCGCGTTGACCTTTGCAGAGGAGATCCCCAAAGCCCTCATCACCCCACCTGTTTTCTTTGTGTCCTCCCCTTGCAGCCATGCCCACCCTTCCCCACCCTCTCCAACCCCGGGAAGCCAGTGATTGGCTCTATTTCTCGGGTTCTGTCGTTTCTCTCTGAGGCTGACTTTCCCCACCCATTCCCAGCGTGATTTCCAGTTCATTCTGGTTAGCGTGCTAATGAGTTCACTCCTTTTTATTGGTGACCGGTGATCAATGATCCGAGCGAACCACTCAGATATTTTGGTCAGATATTTTGACCATCTGCCCATTGAAAGATGTTTGGATGGTTTCCTGTTTTGGGTTACCATGAAGTTACTACGATGTGAATATTTGGGGACTAGTTTTTACCTCTGTGAGATGAGTGCTCAGTTTACCATACTATAGCTGGGGTGTATGGTAAATCCAGTTTTAGTTTTGAAGAAAACTGCTGAATTATGTTTCAGGGTGACTTTGCCATTTGGCACTGCCACCAGCCCTGTGTGCAGGATCCCTGTCTCTGCACCCTGTCCCGTATTTTAATTTCCCCCTGCTATTCTTTGTGTCAGCCATTCTAATAGGTGTGGTCTGTCATCCCACGGTGATTTTAATCTAATGGCTAATGGTGTTGAACGTCTTTTCATGTGCTTATTACTCATTCATAATCCTCTTTGGGGAAATGTCTTTTGTCTGTTTTCTAATTGGATTGTTTTTTTTAAAAAATTCAGTTCTAAAATTATTGAGATCTAATTTATAAACCAGAAGATTCACTTTTTATTTTTATTTTTTTGTAGTACTGGGGGTTGAACCCAGGGATGCTCTGCTATGGAACTACATTTCTGGTCCCTTTTATTATTATTATTTTTTTTATTTTGAGACAAAATTTCACCAAGTTGCAGAGTGTGATCTCCAGTTTGACATTATCTTCCCTCCGTTCTCCTGAGTAGCTGAGATTATAGGTGTGTGCCACTGTACCCAGCAAAATTCACATTTTAAATAATCTTTTGTATATTTCTGAAGTTGTGCAACCATCACTGCTAATCCCCGCAAATGTCTGTTGTTCCCCAAAGAAACTCCAAACTCATTAGGAATTGCTCCCCATTCCTTCTTCCTTCCCACCCCTAGCAACCAGCAAGCTACCTTCTGTCTTTATAGATATGCCTATTCTGGACATTTCTTATAAATCTAATCATAGAACATGTGACCTTTTGTGACGTTTTCAAGGTTCACCCATGTTGGAGTGTGTATCAGCCCTCCATTTCCGTTGATTGCCAGACAATCTCCCACTGTTTGAACGTACCATGTTTTGTTTATACATTCATCTGTTGATGGATATTTAGGTTGTTTCCATTTTTTGGCTCTATGAATAATGCTGCTATGAATATCCATGTGCAAGTTTTTGTGTGGATGTGTTTTCATTTTTCTTGGGTATATACCTGGAAGTGAAATTTCTGAGTCATATGGTAATTTTATGTTGAACAGTTTGAGAAATTGCCCGTCTATTTTCCAAGTGGCTGCACCATCTTACAATGCTGTCAGCAAAGTCTGAGGGTTCCAATATCTTCAAATCCTTGACAACACTTGTTATTATCTTTTTAATTTTTAGCCATCCTATGAAGTGGTACCTCCTTGTGGTTTTGATTAGCATTTTCCTGATGATTAATAATGTGGAAATTCTTTTTATCTATTATCTGTTTGCATATGTTATTTAGGGAAATGTTTATTTAAATCCTTTGCTTACTTTAAAATTATTTGCCTTTCTATTGTTGAGTTCTTATATCTAAATACTAAATCTTTGTCAAATATATTGTTTGCAAATATTTCTCACATTTTTTGGGTTGCCTTTTAATCTTATGATGCCCTTTGGAAGCACAAAAGCTCTCCATTTTTAATTTTAATTAATCTATTTTTGTTGTCATGGCTTGTGCTGTTTGTGTCATGTTTTATAAACCGTTTGTGTAACCCAAGGACAAGAAATGTTCCTCCTGTTTTCTTCCAAGAGTTGTGTAGTTTTAACTCTTACATGTAGGTCTGTGGCATAGTTTTAATTAATTTTTATATGGTATGAAGTTAGGTCCAACTTCTGGGCCTGTGCACAGATAGTGGTCCCAGCACCATTTGTTGAAAAGATTATTCTTTCTCCACTGAATGGTCTTTGCACTCTTGTTGAGAGTCAGTTGCCCATAAATGCAAGAATTTGAGCACGTTGCCTTTGACTATCAGGGAGAGTCAAATGGAGGCTTCCAGAAGGATCCAATGAGACCTAAAGTGTGATAGACTGCAATATTGATCCTAATTCTTTATTCCTGCCTAAGGTTGTACCTTTGCTATTGCTTAAGCAAGGGAAGAAAGTATTTACTTGTTTTCGACTTTGGATTTGACTAAGTGACTTTCCTTGATCAGTGCTTAGTGGGCAGAAAGGACAGGGTTCACGTTCTGAAGGTGGCCATTCACGCTTCTTTGTCGCCATTTACGCTCTTGCCTATCCACCATTGTCATGAAAGAATAGGTCCCCTTAACTCATTAGTCCCAGGAAGATGAGGGACATAGGTCAGAGTCACCCAGACAAGCATCCCAGTTGAGTCCAGCTTAGACCAGCCAACCCCATGCTACATACAGGTAAGGGAATAATGATAAATGATGGTTGCTACTGGGGTTTGGTATGGTTAAGTGAGACGCAGAGTGTGAGATGTCTTTGTGTGCTATGATGTAGAGTTGGCCCTCTGTGTCTGCATTTGTGGATTCAAACAACTATGTATTGAAAATATTTGAGAAAAACATTGTACCCATACTGAATGTGCATAAACGTTTTTCATGTCACTATTCCTTGAATAATACAGTGTAAAAACTATTGACAGAGTATTTCCATTGTTTTAGGTATTGTAGGTAATCTAGATAGAACTTGCAGTACACACGGGAAGATGCGATAGGTTACATGTAAAAAATACTCCATCATTGTGTATAAGGGACTTTTGAGCAGGCATGGGTTTAGGGATCCTAGGGGGGAGTCCTGGAATCAATCCCCAGTGAATACAAAGGGACTGTACTGTCCACATGACAGGAAGGATAGAGGTCACTTTCTCCACTCTCTGTATCAATTCACTTCTTTTGAAAAGAGCTCTAATCCATTGGAGACCAAGGGCCATTCAGCAGGTGCAGGCATTAGGGAAATGCTTCCCTTAGAGTGTAGCCTGCTCCCCTGGGGGGAAGTAGTTGACTTAAGGTCTAATGTGAACATGGAATTATGATATGATGGCATTGAATCACGTCATGGAAGAGTGACTCCCCTTTCAATCCTTTTAATTCCACACAGGGAAAGTTCTCAGGTGATACCCACTCAGAATGCCAGAGAGCATATGCCAACCTCCCTTTGTACAAAAGGAAACAGCCTGCGGACTTGGAGTCTTTGCAGGTGACAGCAACAAAGTTTGAGCACATTATTTTGTTTTTATTATATTTATTTTTGTGTTGACCTTTTCCATCACGGCAGTGATATGTGCATTTATTTTAATGCAAAAGAATGAAAAAAATTAATGAAATAATGTTGGAGGTGATGGGCAGAGTCACAATGATGTGTGAATACCTGGAGTTTAGGAAACACTGACTTAACTTGAGGTACATCCCTGCATTAGTCAGGGTTCTTCTGGGGAAGCAGAGTCAACAGGATGTCATCTACCTATCTGTCTGTCAATCATCTTAGCTATGTCCTACCATCCATACCATTCGGTCGTCTCCCCATCCCTATCAGGGTCGGGTGATAGAATGGTGCTTTGTGAACACAAAAACGTCAGATGGGTGGGTGGCTACCCACCAGGCAGCACAGCATGACATCAGGGAAGGCACTAAAGTCCTTCCAAGATACATGGTGCAGTTTGAAAAGCACCTTCACGCAGGCAGGTTGTGGCCCTGGGCAAGGTCGGAGCCGTAATTCTTGTTTTAGAGATCAGTACACGGTACTCAGGCGGAAAGCGATTTGTCCTGAGTGGTAAAGGCAGAAGTCTAAGTCCAGCTGCAGACCATGGACCTACCAGATGAGCTGGTGATAAGGGAAAAAACATCCTGGGGGGAAGGGGGGAGCCACATTTGACAGCCCATCCTAACTGCAGGGTGTATCCTCTACTCCAGCCACTCCTCCAGAAGGGAGGAGGAAGGACCAACCAAGACCAGGAGGGACTGCCCGCCAGGTGTTCCATGAGAGGAGCAGCATCTGTGAGGTGACTTTGTCCTCTGGGTGGTGGGGGCTCTGTGGAAGGGGACCTGCGTCACCTCTTCAGAACCCCAGCCCTTTCAGGTGCGGCCCAGGAAGGTGCAGGGCGACGCTCCCTGTCTCTGCTCCACAACAAACACTGTCCCCGTGAAGTTTCACTGCAGTCGAGAGATGATTCAGTAATTACTCAGAGAAACCATAGAGCCCGGGGGACATTTCCCCTCGGCCCGCAGCGCGCACAGTGGTGCGAGCTCCGTCTTCCCGTGGCAGCCTCTGCGTTTGGTGTCAGAGCTGAGTAATAAGTGACAGATTAAATGACTGGTGCCAGCATGCGCCCTTCCTCCGGCCCCAGTACACTCAGAAGTCACCCAGGGTGGTGAGATTTCAATACCAGAACTTTCAAAAAGAACAGTGAAACTTTTCTTCTCTCCATTTTCCCACAAGTCTCAACTTGATACTGAAATTCTTCTTCTCAGTCTCTAATGTAATCGAAAAATATATTTTTTATTAAGCAAAAATCCAAAGTCAAGTCTATTTTTAGAATGTGAGATTACAGAGGAGCATTTCCACACACCCCCACCCCCCACCCCCGCCACCCCCCAAGGGCTCTTAGATAAGAGTAAGAACTGAAAAGGGTTTTATTTGTGACATTCCCCTTGGGGTTTGGAAGGTAGTTCAAGGACTAGGACTCCTGGGAACCGAGAGCACTAAATCCTTTGAGAGAATAAACCGAATTTCTATCTCAAACAACATGGATGAGACGTGATTCAATACCCATAATGAGTCCAATCTTCTTAGGAGGGAAACAAACAGAAAAATTCATCCCAGAACATTTTTTTTATAACGGTCATAGCTGTAATGGTTATGGTGGCCAATTTTATGTGTCACCTTGACTGTATCATGTGATATGCAGATAGCAGGTGAAACGTTTCCAGGCACGTCTAGAGGGAGTGGTATTGAATGTGTAAACTAACTCGAGTCACTCTCCCCGGTACCGGTGGACATCATCCAACCTGGGGTGGGCGAGTGGAATCCAAGGTAGGGGAGGGGACAGTTCTACCACTGAGTGAACCAGGCCACCTCTCCTCTGCCCTTGGTACTGTGGATTTTCAGTCCTTCAGACATGATTTGATTCCATACCTGTGTCTCTGTCTATAAAGAAAAAACAAAAGTTGACAAATCCTTTGGCTCAGTGGGGATGGGGGAACCCCACAGGAGGCCTGTGAGCTTCTTCAGTGGAAGTCAACTCCACCCTGTGGGTTAGGGGATCCCTGAGACCACCTTGCCCAAATCTAGGCAAGAATCATTTTTAGGGGAGAAAGCAGATAGAAACAATTCTAAGTGTGAACTCTGTGCCAGACACTGTACTAAGTATATTCTCCTGGAGAACCTGCCTGGGATGAGATCCCAGCTTGGCCCCTTGTTAGCTGTGTGGCCTTGGAAGAGTTACATAGCTTCTCTGAATGTCAGTATTCATGCCTGTAAATGGGATCATGATGCCTACCAGGATATTTTTTTTTTTAAGGAGTCGTTGACTCATTGAATTCTAAGTTTTAGGCATAAATGCTTGATATCTTATGTTAGTTTTCTGTTGTAATAATTTATATATTTCATGCAAAATCCAGGACAGCCATGACATTTGTGGCAGATGACACCTCTGCTGGCTCTGGGCTTCAGAGCTAGTTTGATTTTTTTTTTTTCCCTCTCAAGGGGAGAGATAAATACTTGAGTTCTAAGTAAGAGGATTTCGGAGCTGTAAATCGTATCAGTCTGATTTATAAAGTATAAAGTGGGTAGTCCCTTTCGTCACAGAATTTTAAGGCTTATAAGACTCTCAGAATTCTAGACTCCGAACAAAGATTTTCCCCTCTTGATAAAGTGCACCTATGGGCTGTATAACTTAATGGTGGTGAGTTAAAATGTATCTTTGACCACAAATTCAGCAACAGCGATTTCAAAGTAGATAAAGACAGAGCTGTCTGCCTTAGCTTGTTTGGGAGATGTTCTCATGTTTTTATGTATATTTGATAGAAGAGGCTTTTTCTCTATGAGATTTGAAAGCCTCATAACATTGTCCCAGCCCACAGGTGAGTGTGTAGTGTCTTTCACCTCAGAGCTCACTGGCTTTATGAGGCCTTGAAGGCTGTGATCAGACCTGAGCAGAGTTCTTTCCTCTTTATTAAGCGCACAGACGGGCAGTGTCATTTGATGGGGGTCAATTAAAATGTATTTGTACTCTGTTCTTACTCCAAACAGGGCCACATACATGGTGCCTGGCTGCACTTTGAATCCCTGACTACTTCATTTCCTGATTTTGGGGAGTCTTACAGCTTCCTTGGACTGGTCCAGGGGTCCGAGAATGGCGGCTAGAGACCTGTGCTTTGGCTGTCAGACTGAAGGGGGCCATCTGGATGTATAAGTAGGTCCATCTCCACTGGCCTCCAACAGAGGGCCAACCTCTTCAAAATCTTCACTGGGATTTCTGGAAAGTTCCAGAAAGGCTTAAGAGACCACGCAGAAACGCTCTCTCCCTCACTCCCACTGGACAGATAGAACACAAGGCCAAAGAAGGAGAGGATTTGCCCAAGGTCGCACGGGTGTTCCTGGCTGAGCAGTGACACAGGCCTCGTACAGCTGTGTCTCGAGTACAGACTGCTGCTTTCTAGTCTTCTGTGCCGCAGAAGTGGCTCGGAGACTAAACTCTGGCCAGTGACAAATAAGCAGAGGTGACCCATGTGCTTCTGGAAACATTTCTCATCCTTCTTCCTTCTGCCGGCTAGAATGTAAGGGGTGATGTGTTGGCATAATAATAACCACCGACCTCCGTGGCTGAGACGGGGCCTGTTGACTGCTCTGGGTCTCGGCTGTTCTGTGGATTGGTGGGCGTGGCCACATGGAGGGCATTGGCTGGCTCCTGGAGCAGGTGTAGTGTCCATGGCTAGATCACCTGGGATGGCCTGCTTGGGCTTCACCTGGGTCTTGCCTCCCAGAAGACCAGGAAACAGGGACAAGTGGCCTCTGCTTGGGTCATGTGGGCTACTATTCCATTCACCAAAGTCACCTGGCTGGGCCCAGAGACAGAATAGGGCAGGAGGACACTTCACTGTCATATGACAAGGTATGGGACAGGTTGGGATGAGACTTTGGGCCTTTGATGGATCCAATCTATTACAGGTGGTGACTGGAGAGTGAACAGGGGATGGAAGACACAAACAAGAGAGATGGGGAAGAGGTTCTCACTGTCTCCAACCCCAGGGGACTGGAGGTCTCCAAGGGCAGTTTCTAGTCTCTAACGCTCCCTGGGCAACTTCCCCGGGGCCATCTTGACTTGGGGACTGCCCGTGGCACAGGAAGCAAAGCCTGGGGGTCTGGGTGCCAGGTGTTTGTATATGACTTGCTCTTCTGCTGGGGAATCTTTGCTTCTGAGTCATTGTGAAAACATTCACAAGCTTCACGCCATGGTTGGGAAGGATCTATTTTGGAGACGAGAAGCCTGTTCCCCGAGGCCCTGCGTTCTCAACATGAGAACACTTCGGCTGTGGTCTGAGAACTCAACTACGAAGCCAGGAACCTGCATAGGAGCCCTGCCTCTGCCAGATCATAAAAAAATAATCACAACATCAGCAACATGAGTCTGTCCCGGGCAGTCTCTAAGCAAGAGAAAAAGCTTAAAAAAAATGTTTTAAAGAATATGTTTCCTTCCTGTCTTCATGGATCTGAGAGTTCCTAATAATACCTATTTTTAAAGAAGATAGATTTTTTGATGACCATAAATTTAATGATTCTCTTTATTTTTGTTGTACACATTGAAAGTCTTTTGCCATTCTTTTTTTTTTTGGGGGGGGGGCGACTTTCAATAATGTCAAGTATGTATGTAAGTCATAAAATGTTGGTTAGTGTGAAAATTAAAGCAAAACATTGTGTGAAAATTAATGATGATTTTAAATTTCATGATTGTAAGGGTAACCAGGTTTTCCTGAACAGCCTCAGCTGGATTTGACAGTGTTGGGATCCACAGTTGCTTGGCCCCTTTCCTTCTGTAGTAGACATAAAAGAAATTCTGGCAATTTTCTGGAATCTTAAATGTAAATACATTGTTTGCTTACTTGGCTTAAACACAAGCAGAATCAGGTCCAACCCCTCATAGGGTCAATGTCAAAGGCATTAAAACACCCATTTTTGAGTGGCTACACTCTGGGGACCCGAGATGGGTGTTTCTGATCGATCCTTTAGAATATGCCAAATGTGACTGTCATCAAATTCCAGTATGTGAGAGGAGGGGTATGGAAGGTAGAGAGTTTATCCAACTGCTTCCCCCACCATGCAATTCTGAGAAAAGCTGAAGCCTAGGGGGGGAGGGAAAAAGAGAGACAGACTTACCTATACAAGTCTTGGGGCCACTGGGAACACTGGATCTTCATCTTGGTTCTCTGCATATTGCGTGGGATCATCTCATTCCACCATATACAGCTCTTGACCCTTTAAATGGTGACTTGCCAGTTCCTAGTTGCACTAGTTCAACACGTATTTCTGTATCTGCTTTCAGAAGAGAGAAAAAGTTGTTCTAGAACACTGCCCCCGGGGGGGCCATTGCTGTTTCATTTCCTCATCACTGAAGTAGAGCCCAGCCTAACTTCCATAAGTTTGACAAATGAATCCAGAGCCTGTCTCAATCTGTCTTCATCTTATTATTATTTTTTTTTTTGGTACCAGGAATTGAATCCAGGGGTGCTTTACCACTGAGCCACATCCCCAGCTCTTTTTATTTTGAGACACTGTCTCACTAAGTTGCTCAGGGCCTCGCTAAATTGCTGAGGCTGGCTTTGAACTTTCGATCCTCCTGCCCCAGCCTCCCCAGCTGTGGGATTACAAGCATGCGCCGCCACACCCGGCCGTCTCTGTCTATTATCCTCTTCCTCCCTGGCATATGCTGAAGTATGTGGAAGAGATGGCTTCTTCCTCCTGGTGTGTGGTTTGTGATTTTGAATTCAGGGAGCTGGTGCTGGCTGTGAGATGGAAGGGCCCCGAGGGAGGGCTGGATGGATCCCAGAGGGAGCAGCCCTGGGACTCTGATCCTGCCAGTGTGAGTCACGTGGATAACTGTGCCTGGGGACAAAATGACAATTTCTAGCAGAGATGGTGTTGTGCTCCTTTGGTGAATGCCTTGGCTTGTATCTGGCTTCTTTAGAGAAGCAGAGGTCCCTAACCCCCTGCTGACCCAGGATCGGGGGTACCCTGGTGCCAACGTTCATTGCCACTTCTATCTTGTGTTTTTCCAAATAAGATGGAGGTGACTACCTCAGCCCCCAAGCATGGAAGGCCTCCAAGGTGCTGGTTTTAGAGTGAGTGGTCAGAGATCCTGAAACCCCTTGGTTTTCTTTTCTTTGATACTGGGGACTGAACCTGTGGGCACTTTACCACGGAGCTACATCCCCAGCCCTTTTTATTTTGAGACAGGGTCTCACTTAGTTGTTCTGGGCCTTGCAAAGTTGCTGAGGCTGGCCTCAGACTTGGGATCCTCCTGCCTTGGACTCCCTGGGATTACAAGCTTGAGATTACAAATCACTGGGATTCCAGGTGTGCGCCACCACGCCTCATGGTGTTCTTATTGGATCTCTTAGAGTCCTTTCCCTTCTCTGAGGCTGAGGCTTAAATCCATGTGGGTATCACCGGGGCATCAGGGAAAGTCTGAACAGGCTCAGCTTAGCTCCGATTTTACCAGTTGCACGCGTGCGTTGAGGACGTTGAGGAGTGTGGCAGACTGCATCCCCCCACCTTGGTAAGCCTGCTCTGTGCTTGGAGAACTGTGGTTCTTGGACTCCCAGGGAAACGGTCAGGGGAGGGAGGGAGCGTAATTCCCCATGTCCCCATGGGCTCAGCGTCGGGCTGACCTTTGCAATACTTTTGTTTGTTCTCTTGCAGGTGAATCTATTTTTCATCTCTCAGGTCGTTGACCCGAGTTTGAACTCCCAGATTCCGAAAGTTCAGAGTTATTCAGCACACACTAGTGCAGAGGGTTTGGTAGCAAACTCATTTTTTCCAGGTTCACAAGAGACCGATGTACAAATGAAATGCTGTGGGGTTGGTTACAGCATCTCCATCATAACATGCCCATTTGGGCTGGGCTTGTGGCTCCGTGGTAGAGCAGTTGCCTGGCATGTATGAGGCACTGGGTTCGATCCTCAGCACCGCATATAAATAAATAAATAATAAAGGTTCATCACAACTCAAAAACTAAATATAAAAATCCCATCTGCCTATTTTCGGAGAAAGGGAAAGGTCCTGTGATCTCATGGTGGGGTGAGTGTGAGGGTGGGTAGTGGGGAGGAACACCCCCACAGACCGCCCAGGTTTTCTACCCACAGAGAGAGCAGGGAAGCCCTGAGACGAGAGAGTGGCAGAGGATGGAGCCCATTTGCTCCCCACAGTTGAGCAGTGTCTGCTCAGTCATATAAGGAATTGGGGGTGCAGGGGCTCTGCCCCACAGTTACTTCAAGGCCACACCAATGCCGAGTTGCTGGGAAACAAGTTCAGCACCTCCATCTGCAGCTTCCCTGCGCCCAGGGTGTGGGTCATCATTGGGCTACTTGCCACCCTGCCTGGCCATACCTCCCTCTACTGCCCACCGGCCACCCCTGCCCCAGAGCCCCTCCTCGAGGGCTAATTTTCACACTCAATGGCTTTGAAATCCCCTCTTTTTTTGGTATTTTCTTCAAAAAGTCTGTTGGGGCCAACTTACCAGGGGGAAGGGGGCAGCGGCCCGAGGCCATGGAACACCCCAAAGCCCAAGGCCTGAAATCAGAACTTCTTTTGCATGAATTCAATCCCAGGCAGGAAGGAGCCTGCAGCTTATCTGGGCAAGATCGTCTACTCTCTCTCTCTCTCTCTCTCTGTCCCCAGGAGTGTGGAAGTGGAGTCACCCCTGTCCCTCCACTGAAGGCCCAGGGCCACTCAGGAGGGTGAAGATAAGTGACTTCTGTGAGGCACGTGCTGAGGGACAGGCGTCCTATCCACATCGTCCCATTTAAACCTCGCAGTGGGCAGCAGGGAAGGGATCACCACCGCCCTGTTTTGCAGGGGTGACTCAGGGATGGTAAGGGACATGGGGGACCAGAGAGAATGAATAATCCTTTTGCAACCCCCATCTTAAAAAAATATGTGCTGGGGAGGGTACGTGCCAATTCCTGTGAGTCTGTATCTCAGGAAAACCCCTTGTCTTCTCTGACCTTCTGTTCTGTAAAATAAAGTTCTTGGTGAGTTTATTTTGGTGTAAAATAGACTTGAGCTCAAGAATGACATATTCAGGGGCCCCTTCTTAGTACCTATGTGAGTTCTCCCTCTCTCCAGAACAGGCCACCTGACTTTCTGGAGGGTTTGTTGTCCATCCTAATGGCCCCATAACAACTCTGGGGCTCTGGGCAACACGGCAGAGATAGAACCTGGCGGCTGCTCTGGAACACGGGGTGTTTGTAAAGGGGCCTCTGTGCCTCTCGTAGCCTTTGAGCTTTTCAAAACTCTGTGCATTGTAGGTAACTGAGCACCCTGAAAATGTTTTTTGCCCATAGATATGCAAATGAAGTTTTCGGGTGGAAATGCCAATGACTTAGGACACCCCCTGGGGACAAGCCCGTTTAGCATCTGTTTGTAAATTCTCTTTGGCTTTCTTGTTTGTGTACGCTGTGGATAGTTCTTTGAATTCTTCTCTGAATTATTGTGATGTCTTACACGTTCCCTCACAAATTAATGAGCTAAGTAAAATTGACTTTGATGAGGGTCATAGTTACTCTTCTAGCAATTATCCTTTATGGTCTGTAGTTAACGCTAGCACAGATCCGCTCAGCATCTGGGGAGCAGGTGGGTGTGTTGCCATAAGGGGGTTTAGGAGGTCTCTCCAGAGCCAGTGGAGAACTCCTCTTGGACCTTCCAGGTGCTTGACTTGTCACAGAAAATAATTTAAGGAGACATCAGATATGAAGAGCAGGCAAGAGATTTATTACAAAGGGGAAAGTACTAACTCGAGAATGGGAATGTGGGTGACCTCAGAGAAAGAGAGTCACTCCATCCCAATCTGGGGTTCTAATATTTATAAAGTAGCTGGGGGGGCTGAACTAAAGTCGGTCAGGGCAGGGTGACACGGTGTCCCCGCAGTTTTCCTTGTGGTTACCCACTGTTCTCGCATGTTCTATTCATGCTACTTTCTGCATCTCTGAGTCTCATTAGCACCTCAAATCCCCACCTGAGGGTGGCATCTTACTATTACAACGAAGCAAGGATAACTTTGGGTCACCTGTCTTTCATACATCTGCTCCCTAAGGAGCCCAAGGAGTGGTGCCTCCAGGTGCCCTCTGGTCATCTCACAGGTTTTGGTGCTAGTTGTGGGCAGCAGCACCGCAGGGGCAAGGATGTGGCTGGGGTTGCTTGTTCTGCCTTTCAGTGATTCATGGACATTTTTCTTTTGAGCCTCGGTGTTTTCTCTGTGTCCCTAGATTCCTGTATCAGGTGGACCGACACTGCTCCATTCTTTAGCCTGGAGTCTGCTTTACTGGACCAAACTGCTTCCCACCCTGTCCTCTCCCTGGTGAGCTCCGCAAGCTTCTGCTCCTCTGAGGGGTGCCCTCACTCTGGGCCCCTGAGGTTTTCTCTGCATTTCCTGGAAGGAACCATTCTGCCAGCTCCCTCCTTCTAAGAGATCCTAGAAGCTCTGCTGGCCTCCTACGGACCTCTGTGCTCACGTCTGACCCGGCGTGACTAGGGGATAGAACTTCCTACCGTGGGGCAGGGGTGAGGCTTCAGTCATGTGACCGGTGTTCAGGGAACCGATCCACAGTCAATCCAGGTACCCACCGAGATGGTCACTCAAGGGGCCAGTGCTTGTTCCTGCTCCCTGCTGATCCACGAGAGCTGAGCCCTCTGGTCACGCCCCCACGTGGCCCTCGCCAAGGCTGGTGGGACTCTCCCAGCTGACCACCAAGTCCAGGCCTCAGGAGCCAACCAGAGCACTATGCCAGCAGTCCTTGCCTGTCCTAGCAGGTGGTGGACTCTCTGAGGTTCTAGTCTTTTCTGGGATGGTGTTCCCCAGGAATCTCCTCACCGGCACTTCACTGTTTACAAAATGTGTTAGCGTCCATTCTGAGCTGAGCCCTGAGATGGCTCGCTGAGCGAGGCAGGAGAGGCTCCCTTGTCCTCCATGGTCGCACAGGGATGAGCATGTCCGAGGCGGCAGGACGTGGCTTGCCCGAGAGGTGGGTGTGGCAGGGAAAGGACCCATGCTGGGACATGGGGGTGCCGGGCACCTCTTGCTCCACACTTCACTTTGGCCCTAGACTCTCAGCTACCCCCACCTTGGCTGGGTGAGAACTGAGTGCCTTTGATCAGAGAAGTTTGTGTCTGAGGGTAGAGGAATCTGCTTCCCGCTCCTTTCTGCCCTGGGCCTCCTAGTCTCCCCCTGGCAGTATCAGTTAGAATACATTTAACTGCAGGTCCCAGAAACCTGATTCATGGCGGATTAAAAGGAGTGATTTATTTATCTTATATTAGAAGGAGTCTGGAGAGAGAGAGCTCAGCCTCAGAGCCAGAGATTGAGTGATTCTGTAGCCCTGGCCCAAGAAGGGTGCTGCTAAACACAGGTGGCCATTTAAATTCAAATGTAGATGATTCAAAATGAAAATGAAAAAGAATCCAGTTCCCAGGTGCAGTGACTACCGCGGTGGCCCAGTGCAGATGTGGAATTTTCCATCCTGGTGGAACGTTCTAGCAGAAAAGCAGCCACAGGTGTGGTGTGTGTGTTCAAAGAGAGAAGGAAGGGAAAGAGAATGGCGGTAGCCGTGCTTGTTCCTTTATCAAGAAACTCTTCCACGTTTCCTTTAGGACTTCTGCCAGGGTCTGATCAGCCTCACCCATGTCACGGGGTCCACTCTAGCTGCAAGGGAAACTGGGAAACTGAGAAGGTCGCTAACCAGGTAGAAGGGGGCGGGAGACTGCAGTGGGGACAGGCCTCTGTTTGCCTGGTGGCCTTCACTCTGAGCTCCTGTCTCTATTGATTTGTTTCTTGGTCCTTGGGCTTCCCTGTGTGTGCAGCGCGATTCTGCCCCACCCTCCCAGGTGACTTTCCTTCAGTTTTATTAAACAAAAACCACACAAAAATAAGCAAAGTGAAAATAAAAGTGCTCACACAAGGTGTTCCTGTGCAGCACAATTTCCTGGAGCCTCGGCGATGGACAGGAGCTTCGATCCTATTGACACAAATTCTTCCTACATGCTAACATGGGTCTGCACCACTCTGCAGGGGGCTCTGCCATCTTGTTTTTCCTCTCCCTGCCTCCACTACCCATTATTAGTCCCCCCAAAGCCCCTCCTCAAGTGGAGTCATTTAGGCTGAATCGTATAAGTCACTAGGCGCAGGGCCTCCCTCTGCATGCCTCCACACTTCATGAAGTGACG